ATGCAAAGTCTCATGTACCCTTCTCGCCAGATTAATTTTGAAAGAATAGGGCAAATTCTCTTTGTCAAACAGAAATGTGAGGAAAATTTACATACCATTCGATAATTGACAAAATTATTTACGTTATGAACAAATATTCATTTTGGTTACAATATTGATTCTTCATTAGCTTTACTTATAAATCCAATTAGCTAAAGAGAATTTGCTATTATATTATGATTGGTTGCGCAAATAAATTAAGAAAAATCTTTCCACATTTTTCGGCCTCGAGTGATAAAGGCACTCCAAAGGCCAAAACCAGGAAGGTCCCATACATACCCAGCTAATTTGTCCAGTCATTTATGAATATTTTCTCATCTAAATTTCCATTTTTAGGAATAACATTTCATTGTTCACATACGCAAATTAGTATGCGCACAATTATCCCATTTTATTCCGCTTGCCTTAAACTTTTGTGCAGAATTTGCCACCTGAGTTACATACAACAAAATACTTCACTTAGCGTCAATTGGCGACTATATATCTATAATTTAAGGGAATATTCAATAAAATAGAAATATTGACATACTAATACGTTCTTATCATTTTTCCGAATATGTTTATCCCCACGAAATTACCTTTATAAAGATAAAAGTTGAGATATTTTGAACTATATCTATATAAAGAAATAAGTAAAGAGAATGTTTCGAGTTTGCCATAAAATTATAAATATTTTTTTCGCCATCATTTCCTACTATTTAAAGCAAAATTTGTGCTCCATATGAAAGCGTGATATGGACGAAATAGTGTGTTGGGTAGGTAAAAAATAAAGTGATTCTTACTTGGAACACTCGTTTAATCGAATTATTCCGAATTACGACATTTATTTCTATTCAAGCCCAAAATTTTCTTATTACAATTAAAGAACGCCAATTTCTTCATACTTTCTATAGTACAGCTCCTCATACATTTTTTGAATCATTACTTTAGATACATGCCCAGCTAAATTGTTAAGTCATGTATGAATATATTTCATCAAGATTTACATTTTCAGGAATAAAATTTTATTGTTCACATACGCAAAATAGTATGCGCACAATTATCCCATTTTATTCCGGTTGCCTAAAACTTTTGTGCAGAATTCGCCGGCTGAGTTACATACAACAAAGTCCCCCACTTAGCCTCAATTTGTGACTAAATCTCTATAATTAAAGGGAATTTTTAATAAAATAGAAACATTAACATACTTATACGTTAGGTTTAGTCTAAAAATGCTTTCTTATCATTTTTCCGAAAATGTTTTACTTCACAAAATTACCTTTATAAGGATAGAAGTTAAGATATTTTTGAGCTATATCTATATAAAGAAATAAGTAAATAGAATGTTTCGAGTTTAGCATAAAATTATAAATATTTTCTTCGCCATTATTTCCTACTTCTTAAAGCGAAATTTGTGCTCCATATGAAAGCGTGATATGGACGAAATAGTGTTTGGGGTAAGTAAAAAATAGAGTGATTCTTTTTTGGAACACTTGGCAAATCGAATTATTCCGAATTACAACATTTATTTTTATTCAAACCAAAATTTTGGTAAAATTATTAAAGATCGCCAATTTCTTCATACTTTCTATAGTACAGCTCCTCATACATTTCTTGAATAATTACGTCAGATACATGCCCAGATAAATTGTCCAGTCATGTACGAATATTTTATCATCTAAATTTCAATTTTCAGGAATAACATTTTATTTTTACAAATACAAATTAGTATGCGCACAATTATCCCACTTTATTCCGGTTGCCTTAAACTTTTGTGCAGAATTCGCCACCTGAGTTACATACAACAAAATACTCCACTTAGCGTCAATCGGCGACTATATATCTATAATTTAAGGGAATTCTCAATAAAATAGAAATATTGACATACTAATACGTTCTTATCATTTTTCCGAATATGTTTTTTGAGCTATATATATAAAGAAATAAGTAAAGAGAATGTTTCGAGTTTCGCCTAAAATATTAAATATTTTCTTTTCCATTATTTCTTACTACTTAAAGCGAAATTTGTGAGCCTTATGAAAGCGTGATATGGACGAAATAGTGTTTTAGGTAGGTAAAAAATATAGTGATTGTTTCTTGGAACACTCAGTAAATCGAATTATTCCTAATTACAGCATTTGTTTTTATTCAAGACTATTTCTTCATACTTTCTATAGTACAGCTCCTCATTAATTTTTTAAATCATCACTTCAGATACATGCCCAGCTAATTTGTCCAGTCATGTATGAATATTTTCTCATCTAGATAACATTTCATTGTTTACAGACGCACAATTATCCCATTTTTATTCCGTTTGCCTTAAACTTTTCTACAGAATTCGCCGGCTAAGTTACATACAACAAAATCCTCCACTTAGCGTCAATTGGCCGCCGACAAACGTGATGGATAATGCCAATCTCTGTCCAAATAGCGAATCACCGTCGCCTGTAGACGCAACTTTACCTGCTGCTCATCATCTGCCTGGTCTGCCGCTAAGCAGAGATTCTGTAGATCTCGATGCCCAAGCTGTGGTGTTGTCAGGGCAGATGACAAGAAAAGCACCCGATTTTGCCGAAAACGAAAGAGACCATCGAAAGATCGTAAATCAACCAAGTGCCGGAAAGAATTTCATCATAGCCCAGCTTGTGCCTAGACCAGCTAAGCCTGAAGATCTGACAATATCTGATCATCAGATTGCAGTTCCACTGACTAGTTCACGGTTGTGCTATCTAATGTGACATCGCATAAACGTGACTTGTACCAACTTTTTTTGCCTGTCTTCGGTACAGAAATATCTTTTCTTGCTATTTTTGTGCATTCGCACAATTCGAGGGCATGAAAAACAAGTCACCACACAAGTATTCTCAAAGGTCTCTGTATGTCTGTTCGGTGCGCATGTGAAGATCATCTTCTGTTTAATATCGCACAAAAGTTTTACCATACAGCTCAGCTGATAAGTAATAAAGCAGGATTCCGATTTGGCCCATCTTCATTATAGAAGACCGGATAGAAGAGTAGAAATAAATTCATAGAAAGTATCTTTCACCCTAAACGTTTGGCCAAAATAGATCAATATTAATATCATATTTTTTCCATTTCCAACCACTAGCATCAACATTTTTTGACAGCATTGTGTATTTTCTTTGGTGCTATATACTTTATTCTGCATTCGGTCGGCATTTTGAGATTCCAAAGATACACAATTATTAAATCAAAGAACGTAGTTTATTACTTTTTATTGATAAGATTAACGTCTAATAATTTTCATACATTATCAAAAAAAGACTAAAAGAAAAATATTTTGTCATAGCTCCCTGAAATGCTTTAAATTCACTAAAAATAATATATATCTTGTTTCAACCCCTTGTAACTCTTCCCTGAAATAACATTTTCTAGTTTAATGTCGACTCAAATTTTTTTTAATGTGGAGCTCTAAATTACGTATCAAGTTTAAGATTATATTAGCTTCTGAAAATTC